CCCGTGGCCCGCCCGCCCCAGGCTCTCCCCTGGCTGAAGCCCTCTGGTCCCCGTGGCCTGCCCGCCCCAGGCTCTCCGTTTTCCTGCTGCACAGGCCCCGACCTCCTCAGTCCTGAGTGTGCCCTGGGACCTGGGCTGGGGCAGGTTAGTTAGAGGAAATTCACGTGTGCCCTGAATTTTAGAAACGATCTCTCTCACAACCAACCAACCAAAAGCAGAACTTCTCATCGCCATCCCAGCTCCATCCTCCGCTCACAGCCTTTCTTCCTGAGGGGTCAGAAGGTGGGGCCGCACCAGGCAGGGGTGATTCTCCTCTCCCTGCACAGAGTGAGCCCATCCCTGAGACGTGGGAGCCCAGCCCCTGCTCCCTGGTGGTGGCCCTCACCTGCTCCATGCCCACAGCAGCAAACAGCCCTGTGAGCAAGCGCTTCGGGGGGCCTGCAAGTGCCTGGGGGGGGTTCTTGTCTCCCCTCCTTTCCCATCTCAAGAGGCCTGAAAATTCTCTCCAAGGCAGAAGGGGTTGAAGGCCAGACAAGCGAGGGGAGACATTTCTCCCTTCTCCTTTTCCTTGAGTGACAGGCTCTCAAGTTCCATGTTTGCGAGACATGCTGTGTCCACTGCACGCACAGAACCACAGATGCTGTCTTTTATGTGCAATTGAAGATGGTTTTTGTGTATAAACATTTTTCCCTGCCTTGAGCACTGAATTTAGAGCAAGCACTCACGTACACAGAGGAGCGACTACACAGCCTCTCCTTCATGAACATTCCCTGCTGAGCCTCATGACATCAAATCTGCACACATTCCTTAGGAGTTCTTGGCCAAGGTCAATGGACACCCCAGAGAAAGGCTGCCGGGCCACTGGAGGCAGGGTGTGGGGAGACCGTCCGATTCTAGGCCCTCCCCACCCCACCGGCCCTCCCGTTCCTCCAGCTCCGAGGAGACGTGGACACCCTTCCACCAACTCCCCCAGCCAGCAGAGGAATTCCAGGAAGCAGTCAGGGCAGGGAAAAGTGACCAGTCCCTTTTGTTTGGATTCCCCTCTCCTTTCCAAGCTTGGGTGAGTTGGTGTCTGAACTCGGGTGGGTGGCATTGAGTGGGAGTTCCCAGGAATCAGTTTTGTATCCTGGGATGTCAGTCTGGAACAGGCCGTGATGGAAGAGCGGGCCGCCTCCTCCAGGAAGCCTTCTTCCACACCTTGTAACACTAAGAGCCTGTGCCAGCATCGGAGCGGGCAATGTGGTTTTCAAATGGTCTCATGGGCACAGACGTCAGGCCTCTGCTGCTCCACCTTCCCCTTAGGGCCCCACCAGGGAGGACAGCGATTTTGGTGTCTCCTGCTGTTTCCTGGGCAAAGGTTGGCTGACTCTTGCTTTAGACACTGCCAGCCCCACCAGTCACAGAGAGGGCACAGCACGGCCTCATCACAGAGGGGGACGAAACTTGGCCTCGTCAAAAGGTGGAGTGCAGAGAGAGGGGCAGACGGATGGCGGGGGCAGTTCAGAGGCTGACGAGGGAGGGAAGCTGGGGTGAAGGAAAGAAGGAGAAATGATTTTAAAAGAGAGAAAGGAGGAAGGGGGAGGGAAGTGAGGAGGAAGGAGGGAGGGGACAGAGGATGGGAGCGGGGGAGGGGGGAGGCAGTGTGGGGCGGGGAGGGGGCAGGGGAGACACCCTTTCTGGGAATGCTGCCTTATCTCCCGCCAATGTCAGGAAAGCGGATCATTCTGGGTTTTTCCACCACCCAGAATCCCAGCGCTCCTCACCTTGAAGAAGCGACTCTGGGCGGAGCTGCCCCCGTGGTATTACACAACCTCAGCACGCTGCCAGTGTTTTTATATAATCCTCCGGCTCTCCCCATAAAACAGACCATAATGCCGCGGCAAGCACGCTTCAACAGCGCCGTGTGCTGCTGCCCTCCGGGGACGGATCACGGCTGGCGGCTGCGTGAACTACTTTCCCCCCTAGTGGCTCCCGCTGAATCGGAAAGATCAGATAAGCCACGGAGCTCACCAGAACAGCTCTACGGGAGAGTCAGGGATTCTGTGGGTGCTGAGAAGGCGCCCAGGAAGTCGGGGTGCTCTGAGCCAGACAAAGCTGGAACAACAGCCTGTCCTGGGGATTCACCTCCCCCTACCCCCCACCCCAGGCCTGTCTGCAGCCCACCCTCAAGGGAGGCTGCGGCTCCTTGAAGGAAATGCAAGAGGACCCCCGCGTCTTCGCCCCCACACGCAGCAGGCCAGACAGCCTGCAGATCCGGAGCCCCCGCCTGGCCGTGTAACCCCAGCTCCCAGACACCTCCCACTCCAGCCTGTTAACGGACGCTTTCTGGAGGAGGTTTGCTGGGGCTGCCAATGCAGAAACCTGAATCATCAGCTCGGAATGGAAAGAAACGCCGGCTAGTGATGGAGACACACGCAAACTTTCTTCCTGCTTTCCGGCTCCGCTCACAGAGCAGCCCTGGGGCAGCTGCTCCTCCAGGAAAGCGTAGCCAGCAGCAAAGTGCCTGCTCTGGGCAACTGCGGCCACTGGCCCTGCCCTGTGGTGACACTGGTGCTGCCTCTCAAGCTGACCTACGTCCTCATGTGATGAAACAGGCCCACCAGGAGCTGGAGGCTCTCACGGACTCTGGGACTCCCAGGTGCCACCTCCTAGGTCCCCTGAGTCATGAGCCCCGCCAGGCCCCACTGGGTCCCCAGCGCCATCCCCCACGGGTCTCAGGTCTCAGCCTCTGGCTTCTTCCCCCCACGACAACTTTCTAACGCGGCCTCAGGCACCCCCAGGACAGGGGGTCAACTAGGCCAGGTGTCGAAGCATTTGGGGTGCCTTCAAGCCTCAGGGACAAAGGATACCGCACCAGCAGCCTCCCAAGGGCGGCGTCCCCACCCTCCTCTTTCCCCACCTTCAAGCATTGAGGGGTAGGCGCAGCCCAAACCTGACGCCCCCCACTTCTAGAGCTCCAGGCCAGTCCCTAACCCCGGGCTCGCACCTAGGCACTGCCTGCTCCTAGAGCAGGTCCAAAGATCCCTGCAGAAGTTCTCTTGGGAAGAAAGTTTGGGGTCATCCTGGGGGGGTTTCTCAAGTCTCCACTGGAGGGGCCTCCACAGCCCCTCCCTTTCCTGTCTCTCCCGTGTATGCCCTCCCGCAGGGGCGCAGAGGGGCGCCCACACGAGTCCGGCCTGACCCACCACGCCCAGGTGGACGTGGCTGCGGCCTCTGTCCCGCCCACGCCGCTCACCGTTGAGCTGGTTGTAGACCACCTCCTCCAGGTGGTCCAGGCGCTGCAGGATGGCCTCGCGCTCCCCCAGCGCGCCCACCTTGGCGTGCCGGCTGCGCACCCGGCGGTCGGCGGCGCCCACGATGCGCACGAGCTCCCGGGAGCGGCCCTGCAGGCGGCAGTACACGGAGAACAGCACGATGCCCACGAACACCAGGATGTTGACCGTCAGCAAAGTTTTGATCTTCCTGGCCACCGCCATGAACGCGGCTGCGGGCGGGGGCGCCTCACCCGCCGGGCATGCCCGGCCTCCCGGCCCGACCTCGCCTCGGGGACCAGGCGCCGCCCGGGCTGGGCGCGCGGGGCTGGGCCGGGAGCTGTCCCTTCAGCACCAGCTCGGCGCGCCCGGCCGCGGCCGCCCGGGGTCCCCGCGCGCAGGGGGCTGCCCGGGGCTGGGGGCGCGGGGCGCGGCCGGCATCCCCCGCAGAGGGTCCCGCCCCGGGGGGCGGCGAGGGCGGCGCGGGCGGCGCGAGCGGGCGGCGCTGGGTGGCTGTGCCGGCTCCTGCCCGCCCCGCAGCCACCGCGCCGGTGCGGAGTGACGCGGCCCGCGCTCGGCTCATCTGCATGCGCGCCCCGCCCGCCCCGGCCCCGCCCGCCCCGCGCCCCCCGGGACCGTCCCCCGCGCGCCCGCGCCCCTGGGGACCCCGGCACGGCCGGTTCGGGGGTGCGGAGGGGGGCGCGCGCGGCGGGAGCCTGGGCCAAGGGCGCGCGGGCGCGGGGAGGGGGCGGGGCGGGCGGGCGCGGACCCTCCCCCCCGCCCCCCCTCCCCCCCTCCCCCCTTCCCCCCCTCCCCAGGACCCTCCCGACGCCCGGGGCTCCCGGCGGCCGCACGGTCCGAGTCGACCTCAAGCTTGACCCGAGGGAAGCGGGGCCTCCGGGGAATGCCCGGCCAGGGGTCAGGGCGGTGTCGGCCACGGGAATGGGGGAGGGGGTGGCCGGACAGGGCCGCTTTGGTGGTCTCCTGCCCACCCCTCCTAAGCCAAGTCCCCCTCCCCTCTCCAGGGCTCAGGACCGGGGAAGCTGAGTCCCAGGACAGGTCGGGAGGCTTGGGATGCGGCGGGGCCGCCCCAGGAGAGGCGAAGGCCGGTCCCTGAGCCAGGCTCTCGGGCAGGAGGCAAGGCCGCGAACCCTGGCCGACCCCCAGCCCGGGCTCTGAGCTGGCCCCACACTGGCGTTTTGTGGAGGAGACCCTGGAATCCAAGGGAGACGTCAGCCGAGCCACCGGGCACAGGGGCCGAACTTCACCCGCAGAATGCAAGCACCCAGAAGGCCGGCACTCCGCCCGAAAGGCAGGGTTCACCGCTGTGTTCCCAGATATCGGACATACAGTTGGTGCTCAGTAAATGTTTGTGGGGTGAATAAATAAATGACGGAGCATTTACTAAGAGCACGCCTGCGCTCGGCCTTCCGTGCAGAGATGAGGAAGCTCTTGGCTCTGTCCGTGTGTGTGAGCACGTGTGTGAGCACGTGTGTGTGCATGCATTTGCCTCTGTGTGCACCTGTGCATATGCGTATGTGCACATCTGTGCTGTGTCAGCGTGCATGCACATGCATGCGTCTGTGTCTTTGCATTTGCATGTCTGTGTATCTGTATACATGTGTCTGTGTATCTGTGTATGTGCATTTGTCTGTGTGTGTGTGCATGCGTCTGTATGTGTTTGTGTGTCCATGTATTTCAATGTCTGTGTATGCGTTCATGTGTTTGTGTGTCTGTGTGTGCATGTGTCTGTGCATGTGTCTGTGTGTATCTGTGTACATGTGTCTGTGTGCTGTGTGCATGTGTCTCTGTGTGTTCATGTGTCCATGTATGTGCATGTGTCTCTGTGCATGTGTGTGCATGTCTGTGTGTCTCTGTGCATGTGTGTGCATGTCTGTGTGTCTGTGTATGTCTGTATCTGTGTGCATGTATCTGTGTGTGTTCATGTCCCTGTGTGTACATGTGTCTGTGTGTTTCTGTGTTCATGTGTGTGTATGTCTGTATGTTCATATAAGTGCATGTCTCTGTGTGTTCATATCTCTGTGTGTCCATGTATGCATGTGTCTGTATGTATACCTGTGTGTGCACATCTGTGTGTGTTTGTGTACATGTGTCTGTGTGTTCATGTATGTGCATGTCTATGTTCATGTGTGTGCATGTCTGTGTTCATATTTCTGTGTTCATATGTACATGTGTCTGTGTGCATGTGTGTGTGTAACTGTATGTGTTTGTGTGTGTGCATGTGTCTGTGTGTGCACATGTGTGTAGGGGGACCTGCGGGGTTCTGGCTCCGAGCTAAGTACTGTCTTATTCAAATATGCGTTTCTTGGCATCAGGCATGACAGCCTATCCAGCTTGGAGGTTTTCTGCCCCTTGGCAGAGGCTGGGCGAACTGAACACCCGTTTCTCCTTTCTTTGTTGAGCTGTTCCTTTCTTCCTCAGGACGTTTATCTCAGGAAATCCAGAGGACCAGAACCAGGCAGGACCCGACACTGGGCCACGGCAGCTGTCTGCAGGGCATGTACCAGATATATCGCCCGTTCCGAGACGGGGCTGGGACCTGCCTTCACTCACCACTCCAGAGACGCTTGTGATGCAGCAAGCTTGATAAACCCTGGTCTGTTTCTGATCAATAGCCATTCCCATGCCCCTCCTTAAAATGCCGTATTTTTCCGTTTATCAAATGCAGGTTGTAAAATGTTTCCGGACATTACAAGGATAGCTACTGGAATAGCAATGCAGCTCGCTGGCGCACGCGCAATGCCACGGTTTCGCGGGCACGGGCCTTCTGTGGCTATCTCTGGTTAATACGCACAGCAGCGCGCTGAGGTGTAATGCAAGCTGGCGTGATCTATTTTCCTTCTGGGGAAATTGAGGCACCCAGCGGGCAGTGGCTTCTCAAGGTCACGTCAATGGCAGAGCGTGGCTCTGGGATTCAAGCCCAGACAACTGGGCTCCAGAATCGACTATATTAGCCACGGTCGCTCGAGAGAAAACATCAAGCACTTTTCGTTAGATGTTTAATGAAAGGGATGTTAAAGTGGTTTTGTAGCAGGAAACATTTTATTCACGTAAATACGTTTTACTGCATTCTAAAATCTAGCAGGAAAAGATGTGGCCTAACTACTGTCAAGATTTGGGTAAATTTCGTTGGAAATACAAGTACATCGGACATGGGAAAATACTGGGGCAGAGAATGATCCGATAGTCTGACAAACTAGCCTTTGCTTGATTTTTAGAACATACGGGAGGCCAGGTGCCATGGCCTCCCCCCGGTTATTCCAGCAATTTCGGAGGCTGAGGCCAGTGGATTACTTGAGCCCAGGAGTCCAAGACTAGCCTGGCAACATGGCAAAACCTCATCTCTACCAAAAAAAAGTAATAATAATAAAATGAATACAAAAAACTAGCCAGGCGTGGTGGTATGCACCTGTAGTTCCAGCTACATGGCGGGGTGAGGTGGGAGGATCGTCTGGGCCTGGGGAGGTCCAGGCTGCAGTGAGCTGAGATCGCACCACTGCACTCCAGCCGGGGTGACAGACTGAGACCCTGTCCCAACAAACAAACCAGAAATATATATGTAGTGAATGCTCCGTGAGTTGTAACATGGGAGGCAGTCCCCGGGCTGTGGAGATGGACTCCCGTCCGAGAGGGCGCATGGGAGGGCACAGCCATGGAATTTAAAGTGAGCCCAGTGAGGGGAAATGCTGGTTTTTCCCCGCCTGTGAGGTTAAGCCCTTGGGAGGTTTAACCTGGACTATTTTGCACAGATCTGAACGGCATTCACCCCGACTTGGACCTGGCCCTTTCCTGGAACCACAGATGGGAACTCAAGTCACTGAAGTGCTTTCTGGCCGCCTCACGGAGAGAAAGGCATGTTCTCACTCAAGCATCACCCCGGGAACACGGCATGCCGTGTTTAGCACCTAAGTGTCCCTCAAGCAGACAGGGTTATGCTGTGATCACAAGCAACCCCCAAACCTCAACGGCACAAATGACACAGTGATTTCTCACGGGATTACACATCCACTGGGGTCACCGGGGAGTTCTGTTGACCAGAATCACTCAGAGCCCCCGGCAAGAGTGCTGTGGTGTCCAGCCGGGAGGAGCACTCGGGGGCCTCACGCTGTAAACGCCCCACTCCAAACTGACCCCTGCTGTGTCCAGCGTCACCAACTGGACAGAGACTGTCACGTGGGCCCTGTGTGAACAGTGGGCTGGGAAGGGAGATCCTGCCCCGTGCTCAGAAGACGGGTGGGCCAGGTCTTTTGGAGAATCGAGCTCTCTCCACCAGCACAGCAGCCTTCCAGCAAATCGGGATTTTATTCCAAACTCGCCCCACGCCCCCAAATGCCAGGCTCCCCAGAGTAGCAATGTATGGTGCATGTTAAATCAGACTCCAGTGCAACCATTTCACAGAAGATGGGATGAAAGCGAAACGTGACTGGGTGCTGCGCATTTTGGTTTTGACAAGGGTGGATCTGGGCCTCAGCTCCCCTCCTGGGCCGAGATCCTCTGGGCATGGAGGGCAGAAAAGAAGGTGGGGCCTCCCACAGGAGACCTGCGTGCAGGCCGAGGTTTCAAGGGCCAAGTCCTCGCTGAGAGTGACCTCCACAGACATCCACTGACAGCTCCACTTCAGGCCCAGGAGATAAAGTGAGGGGAACTGACACCCCGGATTCTTCTTAAATAACTGAATCATTATTTGAACACTGGTCTGTTGGACTTTAAGGTCTGTGATTTTTCCACTGCACATACTGACTCCTGGGGACAGAGAGTTTCTTAGATTGAACCTACTAACACACCGATCCCTTCCCCTTCCCCACCCCCTCCCTCCCCTCCCCCTCCCCCTTCCCTTCCCCCTCCTCTCCTGCATTTCTGTATTTTTTTAAAAAGTTATTTTAAATTCACAAATCATTGTATACGTTATATGAGTTACAATGTGATGTTGATATATGTTTAAAATGTGGAATGATTAAATCAGGCAAATTTATTTTTTTTTCCTAAGAGTACCTTGGCTTCAGAATTAACTTTAATTTTCATTCCACTTTGCTTATAATACTTTGGCAAGATCAGTCCTTTGCAGCAAGGCCAGGATTTAAGCTCTGACCCATCAACAAGGAGGGCATGGGTCTGCGCCTGCTTTTCCGAGCCCTGTCTTCCTGCCTTGGGCTCTGGCGGCAGATCAGACTGTTGGTGGCTTTAAAGAGAGAGCAGAGATGTTGGTGGCCGTTGATTCATTATCCCCGGTGCCACCCTCACATGCCACTGTGCGACAGCTGGCTCGGCCCACAGCCCGTTAACTCCGCAGCTGGGCACAGCGGGCCTCCGACGGGTGATGTGGGTTTGTAGTGTGCTGGAGATGAAGGGACACGGGGGACTGAAACCCAGCGGCCCAGGCGCCACCCGCCTTCTCCAGGTAAAGAGGTGAGTCCAACAGGTGAAGGGGTGTGAGAAGTGGTGCCAGGGCCAGAATGTGTGTGTGCTTGTGTGTGTATATGCATGTGTGTGTGTATATGCATGTATGCATGCTTGTGTATATGTGTGTGTGCTTGTGTGTGTATATATACATGCATGTGTGCTTGTGTGTGTATATGCATTTGTGTATATGCATGCATGTGTGCGTGTGTGTGTATATGCATGTGTGCTTGTGTGTGTATATGCATGTGTG